ACCAGACACATGACTACAGAGAATTAAAAGAGAAAAAATAAAACTGCTACACTGAGAAAAGTATTTTCATGTATATAAAAATATTTGTGACCAACTAGTATCAGAATTATCTTCATGATTAAGAACTAAACTGAAGCCTAGTGGAACAAAGAATTATAACTGATTACACCATATTTGAAGAATACTCTAAAACTCAGATTTATTAGAAAACATTCATGTGATTAAACAAACGTGCAGGTTTATTGCACAAATCAGTATGCAACACCCTCACAATTTCATTTGGGATATAAGAACATTATTCAAAGTGTTATTAGCTTCAGCTACTGTTAAAAAATTCACATGTAGGAAGAATATTTTCTCCTTTCCATTATGTGACGATTATTTTTAGGTACACATGACTATGCTTATAATCTCTATCCTACATTTTTAAAAAGCAGAATATATACATAACAAGCATTTCATATAATACAAAGCCAGTCTGTCCATATATTTTTATTATTATCAACAATAATTTCCAGATTAATTTTACTCCATGTTTCTCAGTGGTATTTGCTGCTAAGCAGTTAGTTGTTAGAGATAACCAGAATCTAATAATAAGAGAAAAACATTCAACCAAACCTAAAAAATACCCAGATGATGGTTTAACTGGCCTTGGATAGTGAATGTATCATCACATTCAATATTATCAAATCATAGTTAATAATTTATTTAATCACTTATTAAGAACCAACAATGGCTTTTATGGCTATAAAATACATTTAACACATTTTACTGTGATAAAAATGTTACTGTTTTTCAGAATGAGCTAAAAACAAATTCAGAAGCTTCTGATTTAAGTTACAACATAGATTTCCAAAAAGGAGGACCTTAAAGCTTTGAAGTTACACACACATATTAAATGAGTCTGAGAATTAACTCTGTATCATAGCTAGAAAAGTAGATACACTATCAATTCAGAATATAAAAAAGTTACAAAAATGTTGCTTAGACTCAAAAATCCTATTTAAAAATATAGAGACTATGGAATTGAAGACATCGAATGTGTGCTTATCTGCAGTACTAAAAACAAAAACGTGTGCTTTAGAAAATATTTCTAATACTAAAAATCTGATGCTGTAAGAGCATAGGAGAGTAGCTGGGAACAAAAGAAAAGCTCTAAGTATTATAACTTCTCCCATGCCTAAAATTAACTACGCTGACAACAAATAGAATCCACCTCCAGAGCAGATATAATTTGTATCAAACTTTTCTTAAAGTCCAATTAAGTAATCATCATGCATTTAATGTATTTAATATAAATTTGCATTATGTCTTAAAGTGCATGAGCTTTACAGAGGAAGTTCTGGATAGCAGTATATGACTTAAGACTAAGGTAAAATAAGAACATACATGAAAGTTGAATAGGAAAATAAGTTATTTGTTAGTGATAAAACAGCAAACACTCATGCATCTAAAACAACCTTTTTTTTAAAGGTCAAAAATGAACATAGCCTAAAAATAGATGTATCAGTTGAAGGTATTACACTTTTTCTTGGAAAGATTTCATCCATGCACAGTTTTGTAAGACTATGAAGTTCTAACTGTGTACTGGAAAAGGTAACTTAAAAATAGTATCAATTCCACTCATGGACTTAAGGTCGACCCGGCTATGTGTTAACCGAATTACATTTTTTTAATCTCAACATAAATTAATCAAGCCTGGATACAATTTGGATTAAAAGCACCCAAGACCTTACAAGTAGATATTGAAAACGGAATGTCCCTCACAAGAGAAGGAACTGGAGATGCTTGGTTCTGTGGCTATGAATATCTGAAGCTGAAAGTTTCAGACAACTGGAATATAAAGGTGTGAAACTGAAGCAAGTTACAAGGAATTAAGAAAGGATGTGGCCTATAACGTACGAGAGATTCAACGGCATCTGTGAACACACACATTTTTAACCTTGCATCAGATGCTCCTTTTACACTGAGGTACAAGCTAAGGAATCTTGCATTTACTTCACAGCATGAGCATATATAAACAGTGATGACACTGTAGACAATATGCTATAAATTAACACACGTGGCACATCCAACAGCCTAAGAACTTTATCAGTTGATAGAGATTAGTAGCCAAGAAAAATCCTAAGGAAATCGTTTGTGGATTACACTAAGAATTTTAGTAATTAACACAAACAGGAGTTATAAATCAATTAGTCAGAAGAATTCCTATATTAGATATTCTTTATTGTAATCTCATGAACGGCTTTGCATTGTTTTGTACAATGTAACTTGAGAGGAGATGAAGGAAAAATCTTTCACAGGCTTAGTTATTAAATGGTGAATTTGTTTGTAGCCAAGGACAACCTAGTAAGTCTAGTTCAAATTAGCATAGCTTTTTTCATCCCTCAGTAATGGTATCATCAGAAGTTATAGCAAATTATAAAGTATGCTGCTACCTATACTCAACTTTCAGATTTGAGCCGTCTAATCCTTGGAAATTAAATGCAAAGTAAAAAAAAATGTTCTTGCTCACCATAAAAGAACTTTTTAATAAGCTTAATTGGCACCATCACTTTTCCTCATTAGAATGGGACAATTTTTTTTCAGTATTACAAAATGAACAGAATATGATAGCATCTAATATAGTTTATTCATCTCTTGCCAAATGTTTCCAGTACAGAAGCTGAAAAACGTAATGATTTTAATTAATCTGATGTTTGTAAGTGATGAGCATTGACTCTTCTCACTGAAGCCAATAGGAGTTACAAAGCTGGATGGCTTTGAACAAAAGGGCGATTCCCACACTTACAGTCAAATTTTGGTAAGTAACTCTAAGCTTCCTACATTTAAACCATTGGTCTTTGGGAATCCGCATCTCTCTAGTGACAGCACATCTACAATTCCAATACTTAAATCCTTCTAAACTGATTCCCACAATGAATAGACTTTATTTTGGTTTTATATAGTGCTGGGGGAGCACATGGTGCTAAGCAATAACAAAATGTGCCAATCCCCTACTACAATTTCTACCCCAAAGAGCTGAAAGGGCACAAGCTGTAAAGCACAGGAAATGCAAAACACAACACAACACAGACAGAATGACAAGTGGTTGTTATTACTGAAATGCGTTACAAAATAAGTGGATTTTTAGGAGCTTTTTGAAGGAGGATAGTGAAGGATCTTTACGTACGTTAATTGGGAGGCTGTTCCATGTGTAGGAGGCAGCGTGGAAAAAGACACAAAGTTGGGAGTGAGCAAAAGAGACAAAAGGGGAATTAAGAGCGATGCTTGGGAGGTGCTGACAGTAAAGGAAATGAGGACCAAGGTTAAGCCAGAACCAAGAGTGACTTGAACATGGCTAACTTTATGCAAGGGAGGAAAAAGAATTCCTGGCAAAGGCTTAAGAAGCAAGGAAACATGGGCAATTATACAGGAAAGGAGAAATGATTTGTGTAGCGTGTCCCATAGAAAGAAAAAAAAAAAAAAGGAAGAGAGTTAGGAAGCGGGAGACCAGTTCACATCAAATAACTAGTGTAACAAACATTTCAGTCTCAAATAATAGAAAAAAATTAACTCACTGAGATTATGACCAATACCCAGCCAGATGTGAGGAGTGGTAAGAACGTTAGACTGCAGTGATTCTTTATCTAAAGCTGTTAATTCATGTGAAAAATCACTACACAGTGTAAAAACCACATGCCCCAAATAAATTCAAATGGAAAAGGTTAGAAAAAAAGGTGTTTTAAACATGACATTCAATGTAGCTGTAAAATGTGTTTGTTGCAGTTGTTCTATAAAATGAGTAAACTCACTTGAAGCACAAATAAATTCTATCCATATAGGGTTTTAGCTGCTGCATTCCTATTCACCATCACTGTCACCAGTTGTGAGAAATACACAAGCTCTCAGTGTACACTGAACTTCGATGAAGAAAACTTTTAAAATACAAAACTGCTACCCCATAAGAGAAATGAAATTAAATATTTTTTAAGCATATGAAGAGGAATGAAAAACCATGACTTTACTTGCTCTGAGCCAGAAGTATCTTTTTGCATGGTCTAAGTTTACTTTCCTTCCAGACTACAATTTTGTGTAATTTACAAGTACATTTTCATTAGCTCTTGAGAGCTAAGTACAAAAAATTGAGCAATTTGTCACTAACATTAGTAATAACTTCTGTATTACTGAAGCCTTAAAAAATAATATTGGAATTAATATTACCACTTCCTCTCCTTGCCAGTATTTTCAAAGGAACTATAAACATATTGATTACTCTTAGTAAGTGTTTGATATCTTTTGGGTTTAAACACAAATCCAGGTCCAAGCAACTCACACCTTATCCATAGGTGTGGAGCCTGGATATTTGTATCTAAATTCAACTCATTATGTCATTGATGTCCACCTCTACAACAGATTAAGTCAAATCATATCGTATTATGGTGGAAACTTAGACATCTAAGTCTCTACTCCTCTTCCACGTAGTGATAATCCATCAGTAGGCCCAATTAGCAGTGCTTACTTTATCTTCTTATTTTCTTTCCAGTCATACAGTCACAAATTCAGTGTTTAGAATTAGATGATTGAATGTTGGTCACTTCCACTATATCTCAGTGAGAGGACTCAGTAGAGCAGTCCCTCTCCTTTTTCTTCTTTTTTTTTTTTTTTTTTTTTTTTTGAGTGTGTGTGTGAGTATGTGTGTAAAACTGCAGGAAAAAGAAAATACTAAATACATTTCCAAACTCTATTTTAGAAGGTCTCAATTTAGGAATACTTTCCTTAACTCCAATTAAAGCTTGTAGGAAAATTCTTTTAGCTTCAAAATGAAATCTGACTTTAAAAAATTCTACATAGCCTTTTGCAGGTTTTGAAGTGTACAAAGAACAGGATGTCAGTTAGACCCTTAATCACAGAGCAAGAAATTTATGCATCTCTGCACCATATGAAGGTATGCCACACACACATCAGTTGAACCAGCTCATATTACACTACCTCAAACACTCAGGAAAATCTGTACTTACCCACAAATCATGTTCAGCATAATCAAACAGCAGCCAAACCTTTCTGTCACTGTGAGAAAGGAAAACCTTCTGCAATGCAATCACATTAGGGTGCTTCAACTCTCGTAAAAGCTGCAGAGAAACAGAGAAGCTCTTGTTACTTCTGTGCTTGTTAAGAAAAGCAAACACAACAACAAACAAACCAACCAGGTCTTAGCACAAATAGCAAACAAGTAATCCTAAAACAGGCCTTAGAAGAAAAGACACCACTGATTCAGCACCTTATCTTCAAAATGTCAAAATCAGGATACACACAGCCTCCGTGGCATGGGTCCCTGTTCTGTCAGCACAGCTGACCGTCACTAGCTACCTTCCTCTGCCCATCCCACCTATTCATCCCGCTCACCCTCAGCTTCTACCTTAAAAGATGTTACTACACACAAACATAACTGTTCTGTTATCAAAGCTGAACATCAGGATTTGAGGATGCCAGAATGAAGCTTGTGCAGTTGGTCCAGTTCCTTCTGTGGAGAACACAGTTCTTGATCACCACATCATTATTTTATTACCAATACTTTTCTTTTGCATTGGATCCCTGCCTCACTTGCCTCGAAGTCCACGGAGTTGTTGTTCTCAGAACATAAAGGTGTTTTGAAAGAAGAGTTTACCAAAACCATTTTTCTAATGGTCGTTTCAATTACTATCCTGTAATCCAGAAATAAATCCAAGCTTATTTACTACTTGCCAGAAAGAAAACTAGGTCTCATGACTAATTAGCACATTAAAGCAGGCACCACTGCTAAAGTCATCGTTCTGCCAGATTAGATCAGTCTCAGGAGGAGTTGGGAAGTGGTACTCCCAAAAATGTCATTTCCATGGAATCACTTTTTTTTTCCTCCATACTGCAGTCACAAGAATGATTGATCTTCTGTTTTATCTGAAAATTGCTTGCATCTGCACCACTAATATATAAATTGCCAAGAATCAATTTATAATGGCGAAATAGTAAATGGTGTAGGTTTCCAAGGCACACTTGAGAAATTAATCTTCCCTTTTTTCACCTTACAGAAAAGACTCAAGATATTTTTTTTTTCTCCTAAAATAAACAAGGAACAGGATTAATTCTAAATTATATTATCCCTTGGCTATACAGCTATCTGTCAAGACAAGAAATCTTCTAAAGAATATTAGAACTGCTTATATCTATTCCAGTTTTCCAGCAAATGAAATCATTTAAATGCTTTTTCTACCATGCAGGAAGTGTTTTCTTCTTTTTGTTTCTTCCTCTTCCTAACATTCCTAAGCATTTCTAGCTGTAAAGAAAGAAACTCCTCCCTAATGAATTGATCAATAGTCATGCCCAGGTATGTCTTACAAGATAGAGCAAAAATTATTTTGTCACTTAGCAAACAGTAACAAGTTGCAGAATTATAAACAAAACCCTAGAGATTAAAATTGTCTCTTCAACATGCATCAAGAGATGTTGCCGTATACCTTGTCTTTAGTAATACTAAAAACTATTTTCCAGTAGGGATTTGATGTGATGCCTCTGCCTTTTTTCTCTTTTTTTTTTTTTTATTTTAATAAAGAGTTCTTTTTATTTTAGGATAATTTTTAAACTTGAGGGAGAAAAAATAATGTACCTACTATAATGGTTTTTTTTAATTGCTATTGGATTTTTCTTAAAGATACTGTTGGCAGCAATATCAAATAATTCCAAATTGTTTAAAAAAAAAAAAAATAAGTACTGCATTCTCTCAAACTAAGTAAAAATTTGGAGTAAGAAACAGCCAAAGAGAATATAGTTCCGTATCAAATGCTAGCATATAATAAATAAGTTAACAGAAATATTATGTAGAGCATAAGAATGCCTAAAGTGTTGTGCATTAACAGAAAGGTGCTACATGAAAACGAGACAGGAATGTGTATATTCTGCAGCTCTCAAACACCTCTGCTCACACCAGTCCACACAGAGAAATTGTACATAGCAGTGGCCACCGTCTATCAGAACACTGATTAATAAATGAAACCTGAAACCTCTTCACACAAGTAATGAAAAAGGATACTTCCATATTAAAGAAAGTGGTAAATTTCTTATCCAAAACAACAATCACATACCCTCATTTACAATGAGTAAATTATTTCTAATTATTTCTAAATCATTCTCCTCTTTTGATTCAACTTAGATGACACAACAAGCAGCCTTATGCAAATCCAGCATTTTTCACATGACAGAATCAAACCGTTAGTGGCATGATCTTGAACACTGATTTTTGTAAAAAACATGAGACCACGAGGAAGAAATCATTAGGTTAGTATTATACTACACATGTTGAGTTTCTCACAGAGAATGTCTGTATCTACCCTGAAGCTGAAGAATAGAGCAGTGTAAGGCCAACAGTCTCTGCAAAAAAGTTCTGACACTGTATTTTTCAGCTACTGGATGACCGGTTATAGTTGCAGCCATAGATGGCAAGAGCTCCCACCAAACTAACAAAGTCTTTTTACACGGGTTACAGACATACTCTCTACCCACCTGCTTCTCAAGTCTGCTCTGTTCAGAAAAGCTAGGAATATTTCTAAACCATATTGTAAATGAACATGTTAAAAGCAATAAGGTTATTTTTAAAGTTGCAATCTAGAAGACGCTAAGATGTTGCCAATACTTTAATCATAGCAGCTACAGCAGCCTTATAAATAATAACGTATTTTTTTTTCTCAAGAGGAACAGTTACAAAACAAAACATTTGAGAGACATGAATGCTTACCAAAATGCATCTTTTCTAATAGTTATATTTAAGAGGATATTCATAATTTATATGTAGCATTTATGGACTTGATCCCCTGACCTAAACTCACTCTGTAGTTATTTAGACACCGACCAGTATTAAAAACTAGGCTGAAAACTTGTCAGATCATCTTATTCCATCTAATGGTGTGTTACAGAAAATACTGATAAATTATTATTCAGAATACTCAAATAAGCTTTTATGTTATCGATTCTGTAACTCCAACAGATGAACAAATTTGTTAATTAAGGAGGAAGGCAACTCAAATTTTATGTTATTCTCATCTGCCTACCTTCAGTGAATGCTTTAGCACCTACCATGGATAGTAATTTTGGAAGTGCTTTTGTAGTTTTAGCAGACAACGGACCTTTAATACCTTCCTATTCTTCTACTGAGTCACAACCATAATATAACAGGAGGCCATAAGAAATTTCATGTAAAATAGAAAGCTGCCAAGTGGAAAGAAGGAGTGCACATCCAAACCAGAACAGTTTTAAAGGCTTTGTTACGTTCTGGCCATGGAGAATACAGCCGGTGCTTCAGCAGCAGGAGCCAGACCAAGGAAACGTCGGCTCTGGAGTCCAGTGCACTGGGTCAAGAACGGGAGCTCTGCTCTACCCACGCTGGGCTAGGTACCAGTGCTAGGTACCAACTCGATGAGATCAGAAACCATAGCTTAGGGCACAAGTGATTAGCTTGAGTCACGAACAGAAATTTTTATTTTTAGACATAAATCTGACAATCTCCTCTAGAGACAAACTACAGCAGAAGAGAGGGTGACCACAGGGACCGAACTGATGTTACTCACAGGTACGTAAAGAGTCGAGATGAGGGGAGCCATTCAAAAAGCACTGGAAAGATGTGATCAGAAAGGAATATAGAGCAGAACCAAATACACAGCTATCGAAATCAAGAGACAGCAAATTTGAGACAAGTGTTTCAAAGACAAGTATTGATCTCAGGTTTAGCTAAACCGAAATCAGAGACTTCAGAAATAATATTTTCTTTAAAGCAGACAGGTGGAAGCCAATAATGTGAAAACATGGGGACATATTTAAAGCTACTAGCATCACAGTTGTACCAACTACTTACCCTAATGACTTTTAAGTTTGACTAGAATTTTGTCAATACTTTACTTCTACACCAACCACCTAACTGTATTGTATTGCTATAAAGGATGCCAGGGTAGTACTTAGTTCTTCAGCTAACCCTAATCTCGAAAACAAAGACCTAACTCATCTCATGTTAGATTTGCCACTGGTGCTTTTCTGCCAGCTTCTGCTATGAAGGGCTGGGGGTTCCTATTGCCTTTGTGCAGGCTGAGAATGAACCTGACTTCAAATTCTCTGAGTAACAGAGCAGAACTGATTTTTAAATATATCATCCAAACAGGAGATATAGGGCAGAAGGAAAAAAAACACCAAACACAAAAAAAGAGTGTTGTAAGACTACACTTACATAAGACTTTAGCTTAGTCTAATGGCTCACCTTCCAGTTTTGCCATTCCATTACTCCCTTTATTAGCTGTCACATGCCACATACATCTAACAGTTAAGTCGTACAACTTTTTCTGAAATGGTTGTATGTCTGTTCATCACCATAAACACATTTCACAGATATGCATTTTAGCCATACCTAGAATCCCAAGGACAACTTCAGAGACACGGTATATCATTGTCTGCAGCTTTTCTGCACCACAGATTGCCATATAAACTTTAAACATACAAAGTGGATAAATGAAACATAACACAATACTATTCTTCTTAGGTCTTGTGCAGAAGTAAATCAGTTTGGAGACTTGGTTAATTCAAGTCTGAAGTTAGTAAGAAAAAAATCAATATACTGTCCTAGTAATTGAAAGATTCCAATGTACCTGACATTTTATTGTAATAAGATAACAACCTGAATGTAAAAAGGATCTGCAACTGCTAGAATTTATTACTAAGTGAACACAGCATCACATTCTAATAGTACTTCAGCTTATTGTTGCTCTAAAATTAAAGTTCCATCATACCCAACTTGCAGTAAAATGCTAATAAAAACCCGTCTCTCAGATAAGTTACAGTACATTTCTTTCTTGGTAACAGCATACAAAGCAGTTTAGGCAGAAAGTCATTGAGAAGGACATAATTCTGAATTGTCAACATTTGTGCAACTTTGACCATCCTGTACAATGGCTTTCTTGTAAATGTATTAGTTTTGATTTTGTTTTTTTTTAATTATTCTTCTGATCAAGAGAATTGAACAAGTATTTTTGCTCATCAGTTCTTAGTTGATGCCACGGTCTCAAGTCTTAAAATGCTGCATTTGGGTAGCCCAAATAGCATGCAACAGCTTGTAGGT